AGACCTCCAGTTTCTCAGCTTCCCCATCGGAGCTTCTGCTTCCCTGTCTGGCTTTATTACCGCGGCCTGGGCGGATAATGTTTTCTGTCTCCAATCACAAATATATCTGAGTCAGGTATATCGGTTTCTGTGCTTGTTAGGTATAAATGGGCCAACTGCTCAGCCGAAACGGCAAATGTCCTGTTCCAGATTCTGGTGCTTGAAATATGAACAGATTCTCACAGAACGAAGGACTCTGTGCCATTGGAAGGTTTGTGGAGTGAGCAGGAACGACCAGCGCCCAAGCACAGCTCCTAGCACCACACACGCCCAGAGATTGCGTCCACATGGTGGTGGTTTATTCCGATTTCACAACTTCCTCCTAACAACAGAGTTCCACATTATAGTTAAGCTTTCACACGACATTCGAGCCCTGCTTTGGGCAAAAGATCTCTGCATTGCAAGAGGTTGGACTAGTCGCTTCCAAATCTACAATTCTGTGAAAAAAGCCGCTTCTGGAATTATAGGGGAATACAGTGGTACCTTGGGTTACATACGCTTCAGGTTACATACACAGGTTAGAGACTCCGCTAACCCAGAAATAGTACCTCGGGTTAAGAACTTTGCTTCAGGATGAGAACAGAAATCGTGCTCCGGCAGTGCAATGGCAGCAGGAGGCCCCATTATCTAAAGTGGTGCTTCAGGGTAAGAACAGTTTCAGGTTAAGAACGGACCTCCGGAATGAATTAAGTACTTAATCCGAGGTACCACTGTATAGTGAAAGTTTACGGCGTTCATCCCCCTGTTATTTGCTTCCAGAAACAATCTGTTTGCAAATGGTATGGAAATGAGTGCTAAGCTTTTCAGAGTGTTTCACTACAGTTCCGGAAGTGGATTGTACATTGTGTGAAAGCTCGGAAACAGTGTGGAAATTAACAGTTAGGGAAACATAGTGAAAATGGAATAAACTAGCATATGCATGCAGACAGAGAAGATCTCATTAGGGAGCGGGTGGCGTTCGGCTGGGATGCTCATTTCGATTTTAAGAGACCTTGGGGGACATTGGCTGTGCATTGATACTTGGTGATACAGCCCCTGCCTGTTCCAGGTTCAGCCCCCAATGGTTTCTCCCAACTGGGCTGGGAATAGCCCTTGCTTGAAACCCTGGTGAGCTATTGCTGCCAGTCAGTGTGGGCATTACTAAGCCAGGTGTACTGATGGCCTCGCTCCTTATAAGGCAGCTTCCAATGTTCCCGTGTCTTAAGAGAAGGGCTACTGTAGCTCAATGGTAGAGCACCTGCTTCACATGAAGAAGCATTCCAGGCTGAGTTGGAAATGTCCCTTACTGGAAAGCCTGCAGAGCTGCTGCCAGTCAGTGCAGACATGACTGAGCTAGATAGACGAAGAGTGTGATTCAGTTAAAGACAGCTCTTTGTGTTCCAGTGTTTGCAATGCGCGACAGGTATGCAGCATCCGTCTTCACTGGGGTGCACATGTGCAGCTGATTTCGCTTGTTTACGGATCATGAAGGATACATGGGCAGTGGGTGGGGGGTAGTAGCAGTGGTGTAGCTAGCTGCGTGGGTGCCTGTAGGGCAGCTAAGGGAGAGGCGGTGGGCAGATGCAGAGGCGATTTCAGGCAGCGCAGAGCCTGCAAGTGCCCAAGCCATCATGTCACTCCCAGAAGAGACGCATGGCTCGGGCACGCTGCAGACCCCGCAGTAAGTGCCAGCCCCCATGGTGTGGCACCCAGTGCCAGCCGCGTTTCGTTACAATTGTTGACTGAACTAAAAGGTTTCATGAGCCCAATTTTTTAAAAAATATTTTTTAAAAACTCATATTTTTGTCATTTTGTCACCCCCCACCCCCCCTCAGTGATGACACCCAGGGCGGCCCACACACCCCTTCCTCTGCCACTGGGTAGCAGGAAGAAAAACTCCCCCCCCCTTGGTGTGTTTTTTGGGGGCAGGGGGATGGGATGTAAATGACACAAGGGGGTTTAACCATAAAAAGGAAAATAGGAGTGAAATTCACCAGTTGCAGTTTTATGGGAGATTTGCTAGGAAACTGCAAGAAAGTTGATTTCGGCAATAAGGTTCTTCCGTTGGCAAATCCGCTTGTCAAGAGCATTGACTGGGCTGTGTGTCTTTTTTTTTAAATATATTTTTTATATTAAAAAAAATGGGCTGTGTGTCTTTTGGGGGGTTTTGCAGAAGAAGGGGACACAAGGGAGCTGGAGAGATAAAGTATCCTATTTGACTTCCATTACAATGGTCAGTGAGTAATTTGCCCTTTGAGGTAAATTTCCGGGGCCAGGGTCGTTGTTCTCCTCCCCCAAAACTTCATTGGTAAAATTAATGCCATGAGAACTATTTAGGACAACTCTCGTTTCTTCAGTGCATTTTGCACCAACTTGGAAATCACACAGTAACATAAGAAAACCTGTGGACTGGACTGGAAGTGAAACAATTGTTCTCAAATATTCAAAATGTGCCACTGAAGCTCAGTTCTCTCAGCTTCTGACATTTCCAACCTTAGATTTCCTTTTCCAAATTTTTGCAGCAATTAGCATACGCCCCCCCTCAACCCTCATGAACATTCACCAGCATTTTAGTGTGAACTTCTCCTAGTAAAGTCATTTTTGTAGGCAGATTTCACTAATGGAGGCGTGTTTGTAAGCAATTTCCCCTAAGATATAATACTTTCTTCGCACATTATTTCCACCAATATATCCAATTTTATGCACAAGATACGCATTTTTGAAAACACGTTTTGGTTTGGAGAAGTGCATCGCAAAATTCGGATAAGTGCAGACTTCGAATCATTGCTGTATTTCGGTTTGCGTGTTGTTTCAGGAAGCTGCATTGGGTAGATTTGCCTTGAAACGCAAAGTGAATTGAATTCCTCCAACCTGCCCCTTTCTTTATGTGGCCAAAATGGAACCCTCTGCATTTCAAGATTAACTTTCTTGGGGCATCCCCTTGCAGAAGTACGAAACAAATGTCAGGGAGGCGGGAACACCAAAAACAGTCCAATGAAGGGCGAGCATAATCATGGGTACCAAATGCTGAGTGTCTGTTGGAATCCTCAGCCAATGGACTGACCCCGCTTCCCTTCTCGCCTGCTTCCCTGCAGCCTGATGGAATGGCTGCTGCTTGTTCCAGTTGAAGGAGAGCCAGTGTGGTGTAGTGGTTAAGAGCGGTAGACTCGTAATCTGGTGAACCGGGTTCGCGTGTCCGCTCCTCCACATGCAGCTGCTGGGTGACCTTGGGCTAGTCACACTTCTCTGAAGTCTCTCAGCCTCTCTCACCTCACAGAGTGTTTGTTGTGGGGGAGGAAGGGAAAGGAGAATGTTAGCCACTTTGAGACTCCTTCGGGTAGTGATAAAGCGGGATATCAAATCCAAACTCTTCTTCTACTTCTACACTTTGGAATGCCCTCTCTTGGGAGGCCCATTTGGCCCCTTCACTGCCCATTTTTCTGGTGGATAACAAAGCCGGGCTCTTTGAGCAGCTATTTGAGGCTTAATTCTAGCTGGTAGCATGGCTTGTTGGCTCTTCAATTGCCAGTAATGTTGTGATTATCTTGGAGGGGGGGTGTTTGTGTTTTGGGTCTGTGCTTTAAGACTGTTTGAATTTTTTTATTTTTTTTTTATTTTATACTGCTAGGCTTTTGGCAGGGACTACGCCACCCAAAGGCAGGCTGTAAGCATTTTAACAAAGAAAAGCACGCTAAAACAGAACACCTTGCATCCCTGCTCTCTGAAGTGATCAGCAGGTGCCTCCAGGAAAGCTTTGAATGGAATTCCCTCCTCCTGCAATTAATATTCTGTGGTACACTGCCTCTGAACGTGGAGGGTCTGTGGTATAACTATTGTGACTGGTAGTTGTTGATGGAAAAGAATGTATTTGGGTGTTCATAGAGCAACGGAGAGAAGGGAGATGGTATCACAGAGGTGTTTGATACTTCAAGGCATAAAATCCACTTGGGGAAAAGGGTATGGGGCTTCGGATTCCACAATGTGAGAAAACAAAATAGCAGCAAAAGCCAACTAAAAATGGATCCAAAAAGAACCTATTCTTTGTAACAATGGGGCTTGGAGTGAAGTAACCCAGCAACCCCAGGGTAACGGGATTCTATCAGAGCTGGCCCTATTGTGAGGCAAAGTGAAGCAGCCACACAAACATACCCAGTCCCTCCTCCTGAGTCTCCCCAACATGGACAGATCAGGCTGCGCAAGTGATTCTTCATGGGTCAATGCAGCAAAAAGGGAACAGGACAACAAAGCCTGCGTGATCCTAAGGGATATTCTGTGCCTTCGGGCAAATATTAAGCTCAGGTCTTGCCGTCTATCTTTGGCCCGAGGAGGAAGGGGGCATATAGTGTACAGATTATGTTTGTCCCCACTATCGGTCTGAGCCTTTGAAGCCAATTCTGTGCATGCTCAGGGGTACTGTGCCCTGTGACTGTGAGATGCCATTTGCTGCGCCACCTCAGGTGGCCAAATATCTTGGGAAAGCCCCAAATTCCATTTGTTATCATCGTCACATCCTGCCTTTCTTCCATGGCAGAATTCAAGGCGTGTCACTTGAGGCTCCCTGGACAGCCTGCCATCCAGGTGCTGAGCAGACCCAGACCTGCTTCCCAAGGTGGCTGCGTTAAAAATATTAGCAGAGCCTTGCTGGACCAGGTCAATGGCCCAACTAGTCTAGCATCTGCTCTCACAGTGGCCAACCAGGTGCCCCACGTGGAAGGGACAACGAGGGTCATCTAGTTCAACCCCCTGCAATGCAGGAATTTTTTTGCCCAACGTGGGGCCACTGGAGGAGGAAGAGGAGTGGGGGGGAGCGCACCGCCCCCAGCAGCGTGATCCCAGTGGGGTGCCACCATGGCTGCCCCCCCACCTGCGCTGGGTGCCACGCCCCCAGGATGTGTGTCACACCCCTGCAAGCGGTGTGCCACGCCCCCGGGATGCATGCCAGCCCGGCCCCTGCCTGCTCTCCACCCCCAGGTGCCAGAGCATGAAGCTCTGCCACTGCATGGGGCTCAAATCCATGATCCTGAGATTAAGAGTCTCATGCTCTTATCAATTAAACTATCCCACTTCCATCATGTTGCCTCCTTTTGCATCCATGTTGTCACCTTTTCTCTATACAAACGCTGCAACCTTTCCAAATAGGGGAGTCACTCTATCCATCCTTCATCATTTTGGCTGCCCCTATTATTAGGTACCAGCAGGATTGGAAGAGTCAGGGGCAGAGGCATAAGAAGAAAAAAGGAAAAGGCTGCAGGTGAGGCTACAGGCAGCTTTAAAGCTGATGGGGAAAGGAGCTCAGATGCAGAAGGTGGACAGCGAGGCAGCTTCAGGATTAGAGAAGAGGCACTGAGAGGGAAAAGTTTGTCCCGGGTCGACATATGCCAAAAACCACGAAGAGTTGCTCCCAAGTCTGTGTTGGCAATATTGAGCTAGATGTGACCAGGGGACTGAATCATTTCTAAGGTAGCTCCCCATGTTCCTAAGTCCTTTCCCCCAGCTTTTGAACATGGTTCCGTTTTCCAGGAGGTCATTCCTACCCCCACCTCTTGTGCCACCCGTTTATGCTGCTCCTCTTATGCTGAGCAGCAAGAGGCCTGAGTAGAGAGTGCAAGCAAACTGTCTCTTGTGTCCTCTCTCCTGAATGGACCCCGGTTAAAGATTAGCCAGCCGCAGCTAATGAGAGGCTGATTCCTGCCTCTTTAAGGCTGTGTGTGGGCACACACACACACACACACACACACACACACACACACACACTCCTGTTTGCTGGAGCAAATGATAGCCAAGAAGCCAGAGCTGGCATCATCTATGCCTTCTGGGCTCGCTGCGAAATCAGGCACTTTAAGAGACAAAGGAAACGACAGGTTCTAAGCTCACATTATTTGTTTGTTTTAGTTATGGATTGATTGCCCCTTTATATCCTGCCTTTTCCTCCAAGGCCCACAAGTTCTCCTGCTCCTCGGTTAATCCCCACAACAACCCTTTGAGGTAGGTTAGACCGAGAGAGGCAGTGACTGGCCCAGGGTCATGCAGACATAGGAAGCCACCTTTACCCCAAGTCAGTTTGTTGGTGCATTTAAGGCCTCCTGTTTACGCTGTGCCCAGTGTGTTCCCAGCTCTGGTTTGGAAAGTAATAAATATACTGTATATAAGAACATCCAGTCCAGCCTCCTGTTCTCACAGTGGCCAACCAGATGCCCCTGGGAAACCAGCAAGCAGGACCTGCTCACAGGAGCACTCTCCCCTCCTGCGGCTTCCACCAACTGCTGTTCAGAAGCATTACTGCCTTTGACTGCTACGAGCCATTTCTCCAATCCTTTTTTAAAGCTGGCGGCCATCGCTGCCTCCTGTGGCAGTGAGTTCCATAGTTTAACTATGCCCTGCACATAACACAGCATTAGCCCATCCTGTTGTTGTTTCTTCTGATATACTTCGTTTTGATTATGCGTTTTCCAACAGCGGGGTTTGGATCTGAGCTGGGCCAGGGGGAGAGCAACAGATCTGCCTTTCAAGCCGGTAATGCGTATGCAGGCTTAGAAGAATGCTCAGAGAGCTGGTTCAATTCAGTTCAGAAATCTTTAGGAGAAGAAAGACAGGATAGGGCTGTTGGCAGGCGGCTGGTCTCCTTTGGAGAGGAATATTCGCAAGTCCCTTCCCTCGGTTCAGCCTTGAGCCGGGTTGCCCAGATACGGAACCAGGGAAATCTTTTTAGTGCCTGGCTGGTTGTGCAAAAGAGGGAAATTCATCCACTTCCCTCTTTTCAGTTTGTTCCTGAAATGCAAGCTGCTGAGCTTTGTCATGGGGTCGTGGGGAGGATAATAAGGGGGCGGGAGGGAGAGGAACCACGCAGGCTGCCCTAAGCCTGTAATAAAAGAAGCAGGGTCAAGAAAGAGCGGCGTCCGATGTTGGCAGAAAAGCAAAAGGGCTCTGTGTTGTGTTGTGCAGAGGGAGCAAACTCCAAAGTTGACGGGGAAGTCAAAGCTTTGCTCCATGATAACGACGAGTGGAGTTTGTCCTTGGCTCCAGAGGGGGAGGGTGGTGGCTACTTCTGCTTTTGAATGTCTTGCCCCTCCTGGCCCTGCCATGGAATATGGCAGAGGCAAATGAATCATAGAATAGTAGAATTAGAAGGGACCCTGAGGGTCATCTTGTCTGATCCCCCTGCAAATGCAGGAATCTGGGCACAATGGGGAGCTATCCAACAGACCATTTCCGAGGGTGTTCTCTCGCACCCCATTTGTGCTTGTGCCCTGCAGCTTGCGGACTTCCTAGAGGCATCTAGTCAGCCTCTGTGGAAAACTGGCTGCTGGACCAGCTGGACCTCTTGCCCAATCCAACAGGGCTGCTCTTGCATTTGTTTAAATCTGGGACATGGGGAACTTGGAGCCCTTTAAAAAAAAAGGATTGGGCAAATTCATAGGTGATAAGGCTATTGATGGCTGCTAGCTGCAATGGCTGACCATCGGAGGCAACAATGCTTTTGAATACCAGTTGCTGGAAATCATTGGGGGGAGTAGAGGGCTCTTGTTCCCTGGTCTTGCTTGCGGTTTCCCATTAAGGCATCACTGTGAAGACAGGATGCTGGACTAGATGAGCCACTGGCCTGATCCAGTAAACTCTACTTATGTTCTTATCTATGGACTTCCAGATACTGTTGGATTCCAAGCCCATTCAGGCCTGGCTGGCATGGCCAATGGCCAGGGATGCTGCTAGCTTAAGGTTACCAGATTTTTTTCTTCAATGAATCCGGGGACACTTTTCAGCTTCAATGGATTTTGTATGGGGACTGATGTGTAAATTCGGGGACTGTCCCTGGGAAACGGGGACGTCTGGTAACCTTATGCTAGCTGGAATACAGACTCCCCATCCCAATATAAAGGATTAGATCAGGGGTCAGCAAACCTTTTCAGCAGGGAGCCGGTCCACTGTCCCTCAGATCTTGTGGGGGGCTGGACTATATTTTGGAGAAAAAATGAATGGATTTCTATGCCCCCAAAATAACCCAGAGATGCATTTTAAATAAAAGCACACATTCTACTCAGGTAAAAACAGATTCCCGGACCATCCACCGGCCGGATTTAGAAGGCGATTGGGCCAGATCCAGCCCCCAGGCCTTAATTTACCTTCCCATGGGTTAGATAAATGGATGGATAACAACAGAAAGATGTACATTAAAAAAATAAAACAAATGTGTATTGGCAGCTAGTCAGGGTGATAGCTAAGAATGGAGCCTTTCAATTGCAATCTATTGCACACTTTGTATGGATATCCTCCTTGCAATTAAGAACGTCAGAAGAGTCCCACGGCTGGATCAAAGGGAGCCCATCTAGCCCAACCACCTGTTCTCATAGTGGCCAACAAGATACCTCTTCTGCCAAGTCGGGCATGTTCATGTGTTCTGTGCTGATTTTAGATGGGGCGTTTTGCTTTGTGGTTTGTTTATATTGCCCTTTAAAGGCTTTCCTTGAGACTTGTATGCTAGTGGGATATAAATCCTCTTGAATCAAGTTTCCAGAGGCGTTTGTGTCTCTGAATGCGAGGGATGATCAGCCATTTGTGGGTTATTAATTGCCGGCTCGGACAGATATAAGTCTTCCCTCTGCTGTTGATCACATTTACTGAATTTCAGCCTCTCTGTTGATTGTGTCGCTATTGCGTTTCAAGTGAACTTTTATTGTACCCTACCCTGAAATCGTTGCGATGAAGGGAAGAAGGTAGACATTTTAAAGAACTGAAACAAACCAATAAGGCTGTTGTCTTCCTGCCCTGATTTTGCACATTCTGGATGAAATAGATCAGCCCCCCACCCGATGTTTGGCACTAGCCTGCTGGATCAGGCCAAAGAGGGACCAGTTTGGTCCAGCATTCTGTTTTCACAGAAGCCCACAAGCAAGTCTCAAGCATTTTCCCCTCCTGTGGTTTCCAGCAACTGGTATTCAGAAGCCTTGCTGCCTCTGGCTGTGAAGGGCAGAGCATAGCCATTTTGGCTAGTAGCTGTTGTCATGTGGTCACACTGGTTGGGGCTGGAGCAAGCTGTAGTCCCAAAACATCTGGAGAGCACCAGGCTGGGGAAGGCAAGACTAGCTAGATCTTTGGACCAATCTAGTGGGGCTCATTCTGACGGGTTTGCTTTTTTAATAGGACCTCTGCTCCTTTAAACTCCCATGTTGCAAGCAGAAATTCAGAAAATGTGATGCTTCCTAGGCCTGCGTTGACACTCTGGGGAGAACTTCAGCTGCTGTGTTTCTGCTGGCTATACAATTTCTAGCGGTAGAGAGGCCACACCAAAAGAAGAGCGACTCTGGCTTTGGGAGCGTTGTTCTATATCACTGTACATCGCCCTGATATTTGACGAGAGGGTGGTGTATCTAAATACTTCAATAAATAAATAAATACACAGGGCAAAGGGCGAGAGAGGAAGGTTTCTGTGGCCTGCCTGCCTTGTTTTCTTACTTTACGTGCAGGGGGCACTCCAATACGTTTTGGTAATCGGGAACCATCAGATCAAGAAATGTGGTGCAGATGGGCATCCTCCATGCACCCTGGTCCCCAAAACTCCACTGCCCACACTTTTGCCATGCAGAAAAGTCACAGGAGATATCTCCCAAGTGCTTTTGAATAGCTCATCTCTTCCTCCAAAGGTGGTAGACTCTCCTTCTTGGGAGGTTTTTAAGCAAAGGTTGGATGGCCCATCTGTCAGAGATTCTTTAGTTGTGATGCCTGCATTGCAAGGGGTTGGACTAGATGATTCTTGGGGGGTCCCTTCCAACTCTGCAGTTCTATGGTTCTACACCCTTGTGCAAATTAATTGAAACAATGAATTTAGTAGTTTATTGTACAAAACTCACATATACATGTACAAAACTCACATATACATGTACAAAACTCACATGTACAAAACTCACATTAGTAACGGATATGACCTCTGCTATTTTTAAGCAGCATTTGAACATGGTTTGGCATGGAGTCTACTAGTTTCAAACAGTCACTGTTGATTTTCGGATCCCTGGACCACACTTGAATTCACACCTGAATGAGCTTCTCCATAGTTGTACAGTCTACAGC